GGGCGTCTCGCTCCGCGCGCGTTCTGAAAAACCAGACGGCAGCTTAATTGCCGCACATCGGCGTGTCGTTCGAGGCGATCGCCGGTCCACCGGTACCTTGCGGTAACGCGTATACGGCAATCTGCGGTGAGCGCGGGTGGCGAACCGCGCCGCCCACACACGCGGCACCGGGATCGCGGACGCGATACGCGCTCGCGTATCGCCTATCGTGGCATTCCGCATTCGCGGATCCCGCAGCCGCGCACCCAGCGCCACGTGATTAACGGCTAATTATAAAAATATCATCAACATCGTGTAGCGCGGCCCGCGATCCGCGCTGTGGTCGAGTTCATCCCACGCCTAACACCTTCCGTTCCATTTATACGGCGCGTCGGCGGCGGCGGCGGCGGCGGCGGCGGTGAACGAGGCGAGTAATAATTACATCATGCGCTCGTGAATGCCCCCCTCCGCGGGACGTTGGCGAAATTATCGACCGCTGCCAATACGCTCGGCGGCGATAATTAATACCGATGCACCCGAGCCGGGGCACGGACACGGGACGGGTCGAGCGGGCGCGATTCCTCGATCTCTCGACGAGCACGTGGACGACGTGGGAACGCGCGCGGACGGGCGATGAGATTATTAATTGTCTCTGTAACGCAAACATCGCGAACGAGAAACCGCGCGGTATCGATCCTCCGATGGGCGCCAGGGAGAACGAGTCGCCGCGTTCGCGGCCCTCGCTTAGATCGTACACGGAAGAGAAATGCTGTTTGCTTGGATTGAACGTGGACGTCACGGGCTGCCACCAACATAAATGAATTTGCTCCCATTGTATTTGCTATGGATTTTAATTTTAAGCATTGAACTGAATGTCCAAACTGTTCAGACAAATATCTGAAGCCCGCATCAGACTACGGATTGGGATTGAGATTTGACCAATCAGAGTAAAATTTGCTGAACTTGAGATTAGTAAACTTCACTCTGATTGGTCAAGTCTCAATCTAATCTGATCTGGGCTTGATGCCTTTCATTCATCAGTACCGATGTTGTTTCAACCATTTTACCAACTACACTGATATTGTTGGTACGACTTTTTTTTCGTGTAGAATTGCGCTGAGTAAAATAGCACTTCTGTATCAATTGGAATTTTCGCGCGCAGTTAAAGAGAAATGCTGTTTGCTTGGATTGAACGTGGATGTCACGAGCTGCCACCAACATAAATGAATTTGCTCCCATTGTATTTGCTATGGATTTTAATTTTAAGCATTGAACTGAATGTCCAAACTATTCAGACAAATATCTGAAGCCCGCATCAGACTACGGATTGGGATTGAGATTTGACCAATCAGAGTAAAATTTGCTGAACTTGAGATTAGTAAACTTCACTCTGATTGGCCAAATCTCAATCTAATCTGATCTGGGCTTGATGCCTTTCATTTATCAGTACCGATGTTGTTTCAACCATTTTACCAACTACACTGATATTGTTGGCACGACTTTTTTTTCGTGTAGAATTGCGCCGAGTAAAATAGCACTTCTGTATCAATTGGAATTTTCGCGCGCAGTTAGTTTCAAGTGCGACGAGTGCTCGGTGTGCACACGCGCGCGAGAAGTGAGTCACATGCCGATCTACATCTGTCCGTTTGACGACGCGAATTCATCATTGCGCGCGTTGCGCAGATGAGCTCTCCTCGTCATCAAATACCCCATTTAGGCTTTTGCATTCGAGACGCGAGTTTATGTCGCCCCGGGTAATTCAGTCGAGAGCTCCTGAACGGGCGTTTCAACATTTAAAGCAGCTGCTCGGGGATGTCTCGTAAATTACTGCGACGAGACGGCACTCGATGAAGTATGCAACCGGATAATTTCCTCGATCACCGAAGGACGCCGAGGACGAAAAAGCGAGTATAAGCGCGAGTTCCGCGGTCGCGATCGTCGCCCAACGATAATAATCGATTCCCTCTTAGCGGCAACGATAAATTAATTATTATAATTATGTTTATGCCATTATCCCATTATCCGTCGTTGACAACCGATGTAATCGCGATGGCTCGAATTCCGTTGCGTGTAGGATGAGATGAATTTTCCCCTTTAATACCTCCGCGAGGTATTTATAATCATCTTACGTGCGCAACCTTCTCTCTAGGACTGCTATCAAGGCATCATCCTTGTCATCGTCTAACATATTGCAGAAGAAGACGAATCGGCGACGCAAACCGTTACGCGGTGATAATTATCGCGTTTAATCGCTCCGGCGATGCAGAGACGGCTACATTTCCATTTCTTCTTAATTCACTGCTTTGCCTTAATGCGAAAATAATGGGATTACATTGCGATCGGCGTTAAATAAGCTTCACGGGTACGTCGCGCTGGCAGCGCGCGGCAAAAACTGTTTTATGATAAACTGGATACCTAATTAGATGTCGCGATCAAGCCTGTTGTGTGTTTACTTCGTGTAATAAATCTAAATTTACTTAATAACAAGATTAAAGGCTTATTGTCGCCAGTAAATAATTAACCAACGTAGGAAGTTAATAATCGACATGACTGGCACATTCTAATTATTACGAAACATATTATCTCAGCCAGGGTTCGAACCTGGACCTCCCTACAATCTAGGCGGGCGTCTCACCCATTCGACCGCTTGGGCATGTGGTAATATTTGTCACAATAAACCTTATATAGTCGTCGAATTGGTGAGACTCCCGCCTAGAGTGTAGGGAGGTTTAAATCCTGGCTGAGGTAATATTTTTCGCAATAAATTCCTTTAATTAGAATTTGCCAGTTGTGTCAATTGTTAATTTCCTACGTTACTGAATAACGTGTTAACTTCACAATTAGTCAATAATAAGATTAACAACGAGATTAAAAATCCCTTTAATTAGAATTTGCCAGTTGTGTCGATTATTCATTTCCTACGTCACTTAATAACGTGTCAAGTTTACAATTAGCCAATAATAAGATTAAGAACGAGATTAAAAGGACATGTGAGGCAACGAGTGGGTGGTGATCCTATTATTTTCTCGTTTACGAACGTGGCCCCAAGTTTCACCAAAGTATTGTATATGCGTCGCGACTTGCTATATTATTTAATCCCCTGTGCGCGGCGCGCTCCGATCTGACGCGAGTAATTTCCCTCGGCGACTCCACTGTCTGGCATGCTGGAAGCATTTCACTGTTGTTTTTTTTTTTCAAACGACTGCTTAACCGTCCGAGATGAAACGGCGACTGTCCGCTCGACCGTCTCGTAACCCAGGTAATGTGCGCTTAAAATTTCCAACGATAACGTCTCGGAAAACCACGGTCAGCCGATTCCCGCGACCCTGGGAAAATCGCGAGGGGGAGAACGATCGAGCAGTACTGATAACGGCTGTTCAACTACTGGCAGTAATTATTATTGTAGCAACATGATGAAAGTACAGATAATTTCTGCTGTCTTTAAAATAGTAGAGCGATACAGTCTGCAGCCGCAGCGAGGTCTAAGTACGAAAGATTCAGCGACATGACGTGTACCGCCTGCGAACTCTCATTGCTCAGTATGCACCGAGCGTCCCGCTTAACTCTTTAATCTCCGAGATGGAAACATCCCGAGATTAAAGCGCGATCAGATAAACAGCGCGGTCGGAGATTACGGCGAAGATTAGATTTGTTTAGATAAAATTTATTCCATATTCTACATCTCGCGCATCCTCGCTTTGGCAACTGTTTTGACAGTGCGACTGGAAGGAGAAAAATTGCCCGTTGACCATGTAAACGCAGGATTAATATATACTTCGGCACCGCTTCCAATCGAAGGGGGGGAATTTCTTTGCGAAAAGGCTAAATTGCACGAGTGGGACTTTAGACACGAGCGAGTCAGGTAACGAAAGAAAAGCAATGTATACTTAATATTGACCTGATTAGACGCCCCGGAGGAAGGGAAAATGAAGATGGGTACGAGCGGTTACTCCGGCACGGGGTCACCGAGCGCGTGCGAATAGCGCGAAGGCTCACGGCGATTAGACCGAAAAGGTCTATAAATGGCGAGTAAGTGCGGAGGCAAGAAACTCATTTGGAGTTCATGCAGAAGTGGCAAGGGAACGAGGGCGCGTTGGATGCAACGGCGGCGGCGACAGAGATGAGTCACATCCTAGATGGAGCCGCGATGGGGGAAGGGAAAGGAACAAGACCGCGGCCGTTGCGGGTCATCTTCGTGGTGCTCTTGCTCTGCCGGCTACGTGTATAATACGTTACGATCCGCGTCACTTCAGTTTCTACGGGCGCGACGTGTACACACGTGCGCGTATACGTGTGTATATATAATATATATATCATTAAATTCGAGATTTATTCCTCTCTTTCCCGCCCAGTCGCATTCCTTGTGATATCCTTTACGACCGTCTTATCCGTTCGACGTTTCGCGGAGGCGCTTCTACTATCTTAAGCGCTTTCCTCCGTATAACGGCCTCCCCGTGGCCGTCCTTGATCGCCACGCCGCGGCGTAAGAGAGTTACGCTCAAAACCGTAAACTGTCGAGTCATTTCGCGAGCGGCGGCTCTGACGCAACGCTGCTCCGAATTTAAAATGAGGAGAGACGTTTATGCATTTATGCATCTTCGACAGACAAGGCAACGCGATCTCGGAAATCTCGTTGCTCCGCGACGCGTCTTAACCCTTTGAAGCGTGGTGGTGATCCACGTTACCGCCTCAACTTCTTTACTTCTTGGCCACTTAATTTCTAGTTAACGCATTTAGGTCGGGTTTTTTTTTGTATTTTTTTTTATATCTTAGCAATGAAAGAACATAAAAAAAAGGTTGAGTAGTCTTTGATATTTATTGTAAAAGTTTTATAAATAAACAAGCATGAAAAAAACAGCAGTTTTTTTCGAAAAATTTCATTACCGACCAAGTTTTTTTAAGATTATTTCTCGAAAACTGTTCAAACCATGGTTCGGTAGAAAAATGTATGCTTCAAAGGGTTAATCCTCGAGCCAACTGTCCGCAGCATGTTAATAACGAGTTGTGTATCGTTGTTGCAGATACATCTGCGTCTGGATGCTGACGGTGGTCACGCTGAGGTGTCAGGTGAATATACTTTGCTCGCGACACCGCAACGATAGCTCGCAGAGAGCGCGCGATTTCACAGGGGACGTGTTTCTTTTCGCAGGCGACCAGCCACGAGAACGCGGAGGCCGAGGGAAATTCCGAGGATTCTGTTATCGACGACACCACCGAGGATTATTGGGCGGGCAGCGGATCGGGGCCCGACGAGGACGAGTCCTCCTCTCACAACGAAACCAGAGAAGCGTTAACTCACGAGGCCAGCGACCACGATGCTGTAAGTCACGCATCGCCAATTTGTTTCGCGCTGCGCACTTACTTATTGAAATTCACGATAGATATTGCACAAGAAGTTTCTCCCCCCCCCCCGATCTGTTATTTCTTTGTTCCGTTATCTTTGCGGAAACTTTTATTTATTTTTTTCCGTATCGCATCGATTGACGAAAACGGCATCATGCGCGCGAGCGAAACCGATAAAGGAAATTGACGCAATCGGCTTTAATTTGTACAAATCAACGATATTACTTGTGTTTAACGATCAGTGTTATGAGATTCCACTGCAGGACTTCGAGAAAAAATATTAACGATATTAATTTGTCCGTAAAAAAAAATGTGTAATAGCTTCAGATTTTTGTTATTGTATCGCAGTTATCGGGGCAGAAAGTTGTAGCGGGCAATAAAATCCTTCATCGGGCGCCCTACGGATCTCCGACAATAAATATCGCGGTGTGTGATAATAAAAAGGAAAGTGAGAGAAGTAAGAAGAGAGGCACACGCTCATCTGCCGTACGATCGCGTCCATCCAGTTAGGTTTAATTGGCAAACGGTTTCCTCGAAAGTGGATTAAAAAGAAGAAGAGTCTACGGGGAGCGCGCGCGGAGTGGGGAAAAAAGGAAGCGAAAGAATGGTAGCTCGCCCATCTGCTCAGTTTTGCGTGATTTCTCGTTAACGAATGCTCGGCGCGCAAGGCCGCGCGGCGGAGAACCTAGATGCAGGTGTTCTGCATCCGCTATGATATTCAAGAGAGTAAAAAAGGGAAGCGCTGACAGTTAACCGCAGCAAAGACGACGCGCCTCGATCGCCGGCGTGTCCTCGATCGAGGCGTAAAAATCCTGCTGAAGATCCACGGCCGGACGGCGCGCGGCCGATCGTCTCGCTTCCCTCGTGTGTGACTCTCGTCTTCGCTGCGATCGGTATCAGTAAAATCGCGGCGGATCGGTTTGCAAGAAAAATCAATTATTGCACGGGCGTTTACTCCATCCCCATAATCTTCCTCCTTTCCGCGGCACGTAGAAAATACCGATGGCCCTTTCTAAACGAAGGGCAGAAGGTTGCCCGGTGCATCAGCATCGCGGGAGGCACCTGGGGGGGGGGGAGGGGGGAGAAGCGGAATAAAAGGCCATTCCTTTGATTAATCGCTCTTTATCGATGATCTTCGGATTGCCTTTAAACTAGTTTTCGAGCGGAATCGATTTCGATCGCGAAAAAATGTGAACCAGTTTCCAGTAGAATAGAGAGAAAGGGTATCGCGGCCACGTCCGTGCGCGACCTTCGTTATATCGCAAATTGCGAGCGGATAGATCGCTTCTTGCGCCGCGTGATTCTCTCTCCGCGGGGAAAGGCCCCCATTACACCGGAGAAGAGCGCCAGAAGCGGTTTATTTAGCCTACGAGCGTTCCGTTGCGAAACGGGAGACAAGATCAATTTCATCTGCGCTGCGTACTGCCGTGTTTCCGTCCGTTCCGATTGGAGAGGCGAAGACTAATCGCACGGAAGTGCGGCGTGCAGCTTAAAGCTGTCCCGACAATTTTAAATCACCCCTGAAGAGAGAAAGCCTGTATCTACGAAAATAAAAAATCAATGTAATAGTATTACTTAAAAAAAAATATAATGGAAATCTATAACATCCGCAGAGCGCGAAGCTGATGTAAAAGAAATTAATCTTCGCGCGACACCCTTTTGTGCAACTGTGATGAAATTTTCGCATTAACTTCACGCTTCGTACGGCATTCGATCCGAGCAACGCTTCAATAATCAACTGAATCTTGGGAGAGGATTCTAAAAGAGATTGGTACAATTTATCTAAGTCATCTGAACGATCTTACTTCGACTAATGACTTTCGACACTCTAACCGCGCTACCGTTAATCACTGCATGAATGCGCATGTCTCGGCGCGACTTGATCAAATAAAGTCCTCGGAAGAAATTAACGTTCACCCGAGAAAAAAATGCGGCCCCGTCCGACGACGTCATCTCTCGGTGCGAGGCAAAACGAGAAAGCCTAAACGGTTACTCGATACTTCTTCTTTCGAGAAACGTCAACTTACATCGCGGATGCCGGCGGCCATTGGAGGAAAATGTTGTTATTATGCGCAAGATACAAGATTCAATGCCGAGTCGCGCACATGCGCCGGATGCGCACGAAATGTTGGATGCGTACAAATGTTACCTCGAATTGCTTCCAGCGAATGCTAATTTTCCAGCCAGTTATCGGAAATAGATTTGTGTTAAATTGAAACTAATAAGTTCCTGGAAGAGGTGGCCACAAAACGGAAGACGTTGTCGTGCGAAGAGCCCCGACGAGATCGAATCGGCGGCGCGTCCGACGCGAAGGAGCATTTCGTGTTATTGCATTTCCTACCCGGCCCGGTACAGTTAATACCGAAGCAGCCGTAGTTAAGCATAGCAGAAGTCGAAGGTAATCGGCACTTATCGTCCGTAATGCATTCCGATGAGATACCGCGGGAGATTCAAAGACCGCCGGTCATTTTCCGCGGAACGTAGATCAGACACCAAGCGCTCGGGCCCCGGCTTCTTGCTAGAGTCTAGAGGAACGATCTTCTAACTACTCTACTGGCCCATAAACGCCGTACGCCACTTCGCTCGTCGGGGCCCGCTCCGTTTCCCGGCAGCGCCGTACTCGAGTTCCTGAAATTCCTCAAAAGTGGAATCCGTGAAGAGAAGCAATTTCCCCGCCGGTGTGCGCGCCCGCGCGGTTTGCGGGATGGCGACCTATGTCGCGTCGCAGACATCGAGACCGCAGGCGGAACGTCGTCGTCGAGAACAGCGCGAGCGACGACGACGACGACAGAAGGAATGGGGTGAAGGAGGAGACGGAGAATCGGAAAGGACGAGGAGGAGGCGGCGGCCGGAACGGAACGGCGGTTTTTTTTCGTCACGGCATATGGAGGTTGTTCGCAACCTTTTTTCCCCCCTGATCGCTTCGTGTTCGCCACTAACCACGTGCCCGTCCTCCCCCTATCTCCCTCTCGCCGCGGCCGATCCGCCCGAGTAGGTACCGATCCGCCGTGCTCGCGTCGTGATCGCTGACAAGCGACTCAAAGTACAATATCCACCCCTCGCCCGCCCCCGCCGTCGTCATCTCATCCGCTCTTCTTGCGCCTCTTCTTGCGCGCGGCACCCGTACGCGGATGGAAGACCTCTCGGGTACCCACGCTCGACGGGGGAATGAGCTCGTAAAGCGTTAGTCACGCGTTACTCGTGCTGCCCGTTTTTCAGACTTCCTCGTCGAACTCTCTCCGCCGGCCCTTTTCGCCTCCCTGGACTCTCCGCCGACGTCGTGCCCTCCTTCTTCCGCGTATCTCTCCTCTTCGCCGTGGTCTCGACCCCCGGGCGCTTTTTCTCGCCCTTTCTCACCGCTCGCGCTCGAGCGGTAGCGATCCGTACAGGCCGGGGGTTAAACCGGATCGTTAACGTAGGAGAGGTCAGGGCTCCCGCTCGACAGGATAGTTTTGCATGGTCGGATCGCGCGAGGCTGTGTACGCGAGAATATTTCGCTGGAATCCCGCTTTCAACCGCAACACACACGGGCTAACGGCTTTGAACCTGCAAATCACTACCTGCGACTCGTTAGCGGATTCCTTTTCCGAGCTCCCGTATGAATATCATTAGTAGCAGCTGGAATTTGGCACGGGTGGCTGCTTATTAGGAGGAGGATTATTAGCGTCAACGATCAAATCTGAACACACACACACACGCGCGCGCGCGCACGGCTCGCTTGAACCGTTTTTCTGATAATAATGTAACTACGGGAAATATGTGGTAATACTCGTACACAAGGGTTGAGTATCGGCTATCGGCCATTTTTGCGAGACTGTAATTCTGTGTAACAGTAATTGGACGAACAAATTGCGCGTCCGCTGATTCAATTCAACTTGGAGAAAATAATTTTTTAATATATAATAATTTTCTGTAAAATTGTAATTAAACATTAAATTGTAAATAGCATAGGGGATCTATTAAGGGGATGCTGGAGTGATTCTGCACCTTTTGCACCTTTTGCACTTAAAACTGCCTGTTTCGTGGAAACATTTGTGTAATATACAAATTAAATGGCTCACGTGTACAGATCGAAGGCAGCTCGCTATTCCGGCTAAATTAAAGAACAATATGGCATCACTGAAACTAAGTTTGTAAGTCTAATAAAAATTAATAGTGAGCAACACACATACCACATGTACTGTATGCGTGTGTTGCTCACTATTATTTCTTATTAGACTTACAAACTTAGTTTCGGTGATGCCATATTGTTCTTTCATTTGGCCGGAATAGCGAGCTGCTCTCGATCTGTACACGTAAGTCATTTAATTTGTATATTACACAAGTGTTTCCGCGAACTGATAGTTTCTAGGTTAGAAAGGTGCAAAAGTGCAGAATCACTCCAGCATCCCCTTAACTGTCCGTGAAGTGTATACATCAGTTACTCGAGTAGCTGAAGATTTAATTGTCAGAGAGCTAACGAGTTGCAATACGACGACCAGCTATATCGTATTAACGAAAACTGTTTCTGGCTTCTCTGAAAGGTCGTGTACGTTGGCGACGGCGCCGCTTACGTGCCAGTGCCGTCGTTGAAGAATCGGCCGTTGAATCCGAATCTTCAGGCTCTGCAGACTCTCCAGGGCTTGCAGGGCCTCGCTGGGAACGGAGGTACAGGCGTGGTCGGCGACGACGATTGGAGGAGACATCCGGAAACCTGGGACCGCGAGCACCGAAGGTACCGGCCCAACACGACGAGAGTGCAACGTGAGTACGGTGGCAGCGGCTCCTTTTATCTTTTCGTTGAATTCAATTATTATCGCGCAGACGGACTCGATGATAATATTAAAATAAACGGCCCGCCGTAAGTGCGGTAATTAGTGGCCCCCCGACAGACTGAGCTTTTACGACGAGGTAAATTAAATATTAATCAAGTGAGTACACTATATAAGGCAATTACTCTTCGAGTCCGCACAATCTCCCGGGCTAATAGAAATTTCCTGGTTTGTAAGTAGTTGTAATGGCGGTTTGCATCAAGACGCTAATTCAGCGGAAATACGTTGCGAAAGGGTATTGATTATGATCGCTCGAGAGCCAACAGGAATCTCTATTTAGTCGATAATGGATTATCGGCTCAATTTAACTCGCGATTACATTATTGCGCTGGCGCAGGTAAGGGGGGCGCGGGGGAATGTATTTAGAGCAAGAGGACGTTGAAACGATGGGACGGGGATCCGCTATTTCCCGTCCGAATAGAAGCGCCGACAAAAAGCGTCTACGGTATCGGTCTGGTGGGTCAGTGTGCCTCGGAGGAAAGACCGCGGTGTCGTCGTCGCTTTAGCATGTCGATCCGTTATTTTTCTCTCCATTGTCCGGCGGGGGGAAGGGGGGGAGGGACAGACCGGGGCCCGCGGACGGCGCGCGTTATAGGACAAAGTACTTCCCTCCGGTGTCTCGGTCGATCGACCTGGAAGAATCGCTAGTCGTGGACCGCGCTGGTATATATCCGTCCATCTCGGTCCCCCGGCCTAGCGCACGCCCGGGAATTCAGAGTGCGATGGCGAATGGCTACCGTTAGAGAGGAGGCAATTAAAACGGTGTCGGAAAGTCGTACGACGCTCCTGACATGGAGGGTACAGTGGCAGAGATACACCACCTTGCTTGCGGCGGCGTTGCGCTCCTCCGCGACGGGCATCTGCAATCGTCATCGTCGTCATCGGCTCTCGAGGACCGTCATCATCATCCCGCGCGATCATCATTATCCGGCATCTGGATCGCCGATTGCCTCGTGAAACTCGAGCACACGACCCGCGCGCAGATATCCCCGACGCGTGCACGGCGTCGGTAATCGGCGACAGCTCGTTTCTGGCATCGCTTTTTCCGCGAGAAAATTGCGACGCCGCGTCGCAATGAAAATGATGTTCACGAGCGGCCGTTACGTTATTTTTTTCCCCCCCTCTCGTGCCGGCGCGTACGATGACGTGAAGTTATGTCGTCGAGTCCGCGGGAATTCGCCGAATGATTTAATGCTTATCTCGAATACATACGCGCTCGTGACACCATCAGCGAGGTCCTTCGGGCCATGCAGTTATTATTACATCGCGATCTCCTTTCGCACTGTTTCTCTTTCACAGCGATCGGTCTCCCGTCTAATTCGCATCGCGATCTCTGAATGGCGTCTGCTGGAAATGCAGCAAATTTACGCGATTCGCAACTTTGTGATTCAGCGACGCGGGGTCACTGCCTCCGAATTGACTTCGCAATGATTTTTCCATCCTGTCCGGACGAAGTGCCTCGACGAGGGCGAAGGCTTAATCAATGACTCATTAAAATTCTAATCGGCCGATGCTTCAGTTTTAATCTCTCGCGTAGCGGGCGCGCGGCAGTAATTAATGCCAGTAGAACAAAACATTAATAGCGCCGACGCGGTGTCCCGTTACGAAAGAATAATAGACAATGTCCTGTGAAAATAAAATTAATTTCCTACGCGTGCGTATAATTTCCTACGGCGCGTATGTGTTACGCTCATCCGCCGCGATGCGATTTTTTTCTGGAGCCCCCGAGTTTATTGTGAATGCCTGGGCGCTCACTGTTCGTACATATGGCGAGTAATCAACATAGCACAGGCATCGCTGCCTGATACTCCTGGAGAAAATTACAGCGTGTTTCGTCGTAATGTAAATAAATAACATTTACGGGACGGAGTCGCGTACAGCCTATCGCAAGGCCTCCCTCCGCGAGCCCTTTTAATTGCATTTTGCGGAAAATTACGACTGGAAACCGCGCGTTGTAAGAAAAATGCTTTAACGACACGTCGTTCCCCCCCCCCTCCCCCTCCTCCTCCTCCTCCTCCTCTCGCCCTTGCCCTTCTACCGCCCCTTCGACCAGAACGAAGCGTCTATTACACCACTTTTTGCATTTTTGCCGTCTGCAATTAATCGTTTCATGTTTCTTAACTAAACGATTATGCGGCAATTTGCTTCACCGATACCTATTATTCACGTGGGACGAAGATACGATCATCTATTATTCATGAACTTTGTAGAGAATCAATATTGGAATCGTAAAATTATCATTCAAAAATATTATTACGTAAGCTTATGTAGGGCGTTGCCGGGGTCTTCTCTCTCTCGTTACGAGGCAACGATTTCTCCCGTAATCTGGGTGTCGAAAAGGATCGAATTGTAGCGATCTGATAAATCATACGACGCGCATATCCAGGAAACGCGCTTTATTGAAAAAAAAAAGAATCGATACGATCAACCAGATGACATTTTTGAGAAGATCGAAGTACCGGAGCCCCGCGGGACGACGGGACGATCGATGATCGCGTTGCTACGGTAAATTTCCTAAAACATTCCTGCCACTGGCAATGACGAATGCCAAGCCCGGCCTACGAAGCTCCCTGGTTCAATGAAGTCGTAAAGTCGAGCCGCTCGTTCTCCGCGGGAACTTGAGGCCACCCGCGGTATCGTCAATTACGCGAAAGAGAGCCCATTAGGTTTAATGTATCCTCCCCGGCAACGCTCATACGTCCTCGGGGTTCCAGGTCCATTCCGCTACCTCTTTCCCTTTTACTTCTCCCACGCGGCGTTTTCTGCCGCGCAGCGCTGCTCCTCGGGGCGATTTTGCAGCCAATTTGAATTCGGACCGGCGAACAAAAAGCACCGAGCGTCAAAAAGTGGAATATAACGCGCGCGTGTTAAGAGTAGCAGCGGGGCCTCAAGGGAAAACTCGACGGTATCCTCCGCGTCTCGCCGCGACCGCTCTCGGCACGTCCGAGCAAATATCGGCGTTGCTCAACTCTTCCCATTGTCTGCCCACTGACAGAGTTTTGCCGGACGATGAACACAAAGCACGTATCCGCAATTCTAATAAGCGCGTGCGTATACGCGCGTATATACGTACGTGCGCCGCTCGAAAATGCGCTCGGCACACTCGCGACGGCGCGATGCGTAGGACGAGGGTGAAACGGAACGGTTGTATCATCGGCATGCGCCTCCGGTGTAACTATCTGCCCATCGCTATCTTTTTATTTTTCCACGAGCCTACGATAGCGCGCGTCAGATTTCTTCCTCGTCTCTTTTTCGTTTGCCCAATCGCATCGAGGCTGGGCCGGTTCAGTTTTACCCCGGTAGCACAGTGCATTGGCTAAACATTGGCCGAATATTGACTCAATGTTGCTTATATTAGAGACGCATTGGCCGATATTTGCCCAACGCAAAGCCAATTGGCTGTGGAATAAATGTAAATATTGTACGACAATAATTATATAATATTAGATTTATATTGGAAATGCACTGGCCAATATTTAACAATGTAATAAGAACGTGGTCTAATATTGCATCAATAGACATCTTGGCTAAATAAGAGAAGGCGCCCATCTCACAATATTGGAGCAATATTGGGAATACTAGATTTACATTATTTCCTAATATTACACCATTATATTGTGCTACTTTAGCACAGTGCATTGACCGATATTGTCCAACGGAAAGCCAATATTGGCTATGGAATAAGTGTAAATATTGTACGACAATATTTATATAATATTAGATTTATATTAGAAGTGCACTGGCTAATATTTGCCAATGTAACAAGAATATTGGTATAATATTGTATCAATAGACACATTGGCTAAATAAGAGAAGGCGTCCATCTCACAATATTGGAGCAATATTGGGAATACTAGATTTACATTATTTCCCAATATATGTACTGTGCTACTAGGGTAACTACTATGTTAACAAATTCCGGCTGCCGATCTCACAATTACTACGAAGATTTGATTTCTATGGACGTTTGCTTCAGAGAAAGAGACGCGTCGAAATTAATTTAAATGAATTAGTCTTACGATCTCACTTCGATAGCCAGCGACGATATTGTACCTTTACCTGCGAATTAAATATAACGCGACCGTCGAGCGTATTCGAGTGGCATGCGAGGATGCCGCGCGTCCTACGATGACGGTGTGCGTGGGACGAGCGTGGGTCACGAAACGAAAAGGTTGTATCATCGGCCGACACCTCGAGTGTAACTATCTTCATCCTCCATCAATCTCCATTCCGCTTTGCGGTTACGTTGCTACAGTGGAAACGGCTTCTTACCACGAAGAGCGCCTATACGGGACCCCCAACTTACTTTCACTCGTCATCGACGACCGGTTTTCCACTCGCTCCTATCCGCGAATCTGCGATTTTCCGCGCCCGGTTTCTACACGCGAGTGACGACAGGCTCTGCCGGCCGCGGACGTACGCCCACGCGATGACCGATCGACACGCTTCCATCTTCTGCGATTGATCCTCGTTTGAGTCCGACACGTTTCGGAGTGACAATTGACCGGGCCCGATATGGTAACGCCGTTTGCGCTCTCTCGAGAACCTCTCCTCGCCCGGGGAAGGAAATTTACATCTTGTAGGTAAAATTATTACCTTATACAATAAGTAAACTGCTTGGCTCTTAATTGTGTAAATTTTACAAGTTGCTGTAAATTTTCATCAAGCATAAACAAGCATTTGCACAACAAAAAGTAAACAATTTTGGTAAAAGTACACAAATTTATATATTTCCGTTATTAATAGTGAAATCGCTACACTTATTATGTATGTATGTAATTTTACAGACTTTTTTTACAGTGTACGATCGATCCTTGGCTACAAGTAATTTAATTTACTCGTGTCGTCAATCGTAATGCATAGCATGTTTAAATATATTGAAGTTCCACTTAAATATAGCTTAAATTATTTTATCTTATATAATTCATATCAACTGATCTCTTTCGCAAGGTCGCATCTCGATTTTACGCAATTTTCCGTTGTTGTGCTTAAACGCCGAAAAGCGTTTGCTTATCCCGGCCCAGAACGTGGGCTAATATTAACAATTAGCCCGTGTTCTTTTTCAGCGATAATAATTTATCATCCAAATGTCGATCTTTAGCAAATGCAGGCACAATGGTAGGCGCGACACGTTGGTTTCCTCCGCCAGTCCGCGTATCTGGCTACACGGTCCTCCATTTTTTCTTTCGACATCGGAGATTCCACCTAGACCTTCTCGATTTCGCAAACATAAGAAAATGTAAACGGAGATTATCGTTGCTGATGAATCTCAACATAATTATGCGTACAATGAAATATAAAACAGCGGAATGTAGATTTAATCGCGAGAAACGCGGATTGGAGAAAAAGTTTGCGCGCAAAAGAAATTTGTAGAATATTTTACACCGGGCACAGCGGTTGCACAATCGTTAATTAAACCTTATATTTTAGACATCGAGGCGGAGTGTCAAGATGACTACATGAAAATCAGGATCGGATTCAACGGATCCTTCACCGGCCTCTTGTATTCAGCAGGTAAAATTAATGACGCCGACTAAATGGCTTATTAATGCACAATTATTTTCACTATCGCGCCAGTTACCCGGAACCTTATTCTCGATTCGCCGATAAACACCGCCGTATTTTTGCGGTCTTTATCATGCGTCGTATATATCGCAATTAAATAATGCCGAGGCTCAGGCGTTTGAACGCCGTTTGTACTTGTATGAAATTTATATAAATATCCCGATGCATATTACGCAAATTGCGCGGCGTGGAAGAAGTCACGGTGCCGAGAGTTTTGCGCTACACTCTCCATTCTGGAGAGGCTCGACGTAATACTGCACCTAAAATATGTGGCTGCATAACTGGCCGCATCACTGGCATCCGCAATTACCTCGGCAGACAGTGAGACGAGTGTACGTCCGCGCTAACGAGGTAATGGCGGAAATTATCGTAAAGCGATCGGCGGCCGTCCACATCGGCCGCGCCAGAATTTTTCTTTCGCCGTCGTAAGTCCATCTGTCCGTTCTAGTAAGATACTTCCGTTATTTAAGAAGTGTACCGCGGCCGTGCCTTCTGGCGGTGGACGCGACGCGGCGGCAAAAAGTGCACCATCGCCAAGTGATTTCTTCGCAAATCAACTCGGCGAGGCGACCCCTTCGCGAACCTCGCATCTGTTCAGTGTCGATTCTGCTAATCCGCGACTCTCTCGTTGATCGTTAATGAGCGCCCGTTAATCAACATTTCCATAATGAGCGAGTCGCCTTTGTGCTAACGCGGACGTGGTAGCCTCGCGAAACATTAAAGCCTCCTCTGATTGAATCTAGCAGGATGGCTAAAAAGCCCGACCACTGTAATCCTCGGCTTGCCAGCACCGGCGTTAACGAGTGCACTTGGTGTTTCCTCCACTTACGCGCGATTTGCCTGCGATGAAAATGCACCCAGCGTCCGCCTATTCTTCGCGCGGTACGCGAACGCCGCGAGGAAGATTGCTTGATAGACGAGATATCGGCCCGATACCCGATGCCGATGCGGCCGCGTTCCAGACGAACGGGAATAATCGCTTTTAATTGCAGGCTACTCGTACGATCCCGATTGCATGTACGTTAATGGGACCGGCCGCGACTACTACGAGTTCTACATTCAGCTGAATCGGTGCGGCACCCTCGGCGAGAACACTCATCATCAGGACAGCAGGAAGAATCCGACGGTACGTAAAATAGACGAGCGCGAGCGCGTCGCGGAATGACGGGTCGTTACTTTAGCGTGAACCGCGCCGGTCGACAAGGAATAATAATGATTAACGACACGGGGAGGGGGGGGGGGAATGTGAGAGCACGGCGGTGGCGGCTTATTCTTAATCTCGATAATTAGAGAAGATTAGACGTCGCGCCGCAGACCGCGCGGGAACGTAGACACCGCTATTATGGTGGCTGCGGGGATCACGTGGGAAATGAGACCCGACGACATCGCTCGCAACTTGTCTGTCTTTTCAGAAAAATCTCATGTGGAACACGGTCACGGTGCAGTACAATCCGCTGATAGAGGAGGAATTCGACGAGCACTTCAAGGTGACCTGCGAGTACGGCTACGACTTTTGGAAGACGGTGACGTTTCCCTTTCTCGATGTCGAGTGAGTTGTCTTGTTGCTTTTTCAAATAAAGTGCCGGCCGTAACGAGACGGTACGTCGATACGTCGGCACGGGCTCCGGGTAGAAACAGTACGAAGGGTCATATCGATCAAAAGGCTCCAAGTGGCTTTCGTAATGCACGCGAGGAACACGACATGATCCGCCGTCTGAAACCTCCGATTACGCGGGCACGATGGAACGTTTCGCGCGAGGCGTTTACGTAATATCTACGATAATGTCTAACATCTGTGCTATCCTGCCGGCGCGAAGTAGGCCGTGCTGCTCGCGAGATAACGGACACGCATTCTTCCTGCGCCTCTTACGCACCCACCTTCTTCCAGGGTCGCGACGGGAAATCCCGTAGTCTTCACCCTGCAGCCTCCGGAGTGCTACATGGAAATCAGATACGGTTACGGGACCACTGGAACTAGAGTGGCTGGACCAGTTCGCGTCGGCGATCCCCTGACTCTCATTATCTACATGCGCAGCAAATACGGTAAGCCTTGTGCGCGCAGCTTAACCGCAGCTTCGCCACGTAAATCGCTGCGACGCATAATGGATTCGACCCCCGCTGGGTTCACTACGCTTGAAACGGACAGCGAATGAGGGACAATGGAAAATGTAAAAGATTGCCAGCGTTAAATAATTGATCAATGGCTCGTTGCCTCATTAACGTCTCATTATACAAACGAATCAATTAGATTGTACATACATGTGTGTCACTTTTGTCTCTTTACGGTACATTAATGTTGGCACTTTCTCAGAATCGTTTCGCAAAATTTCATCAAAGCACGTTTAATCGTAAAGGCAGCTGTTCCGTTTACATAAAACATAAACTGTAAATTATAACAGACTATCGATGTTGCAATTATGTTGCAGTCGTGTGTGTGTGTTCAGAGACAAATGACGACAAAAAGTCAATAATAGTGAAACGAAAAATAAGTATTGCTGCAAATCATTTCACAATTGTTGCCGTTCCCGCAAATCATTCACAGTACGCATTTTCGTGCATCTCCTTTCTTACCCGACGCCTAGCCTAATCATACGACGCACGATTCCGCCAAGCTATCATTCGACAGCGGTAACGGTATAAGATGAACAGCAGAAGACTTTGTCAGTCGGCTAGTCAGTCCAACCTCGGTAATTTGCGAAAGATGCGGAAATGCTGGCGAGGAGATATGAAAATGTGTGTGCTTCGACGTAACGACAGATGTCTGTACTTTAACGAGTCAGGCTTCTGTATTTACGTCTACATCACTTATGTCATGCGAATCTATGTCAGAAGGTAGAGGACGTCATATCTTATCCTCATGTTGCCGCCTTTGACTAATTGGTTTCGTTATTGTGACGACATTTCATGGAGGCTAATCATCGCTTCTTACCTAATTATAATAAATCTCTAAGAACGGTTCTCTGAGTCTTGTATATCCATCTTAAAGTAATCTCTCTTCGCTAAAATCTATTTCAATTTATGAATCACTAAATCTTGCATTATGCTTTCATAAATAATGGCACATCAGATTTGATGATTTTCAAATAAATGTGAATATCTTTTTGCAGACGGCTTTGACATCGTCGTAAATGACTGCTACGCTCATAATGGCGGGAACAAAAGGATTCAACTGATCGATCAATACGGGTGTCCGGTGGATGACAAACTTATCAGCCGGTTTCGTGGTTCCTGGTCGGAGAGTGGCCTGTTCGAGACGCAAGTTTTTGCTTATATGAAGACCTTCAGGTTCACGGGATCGCCGGCTCTGTATATCGAATGCGATGTTCGCATGTGCCACGGAAGATGTCCGGTAACCAGATGTTTCTTAGTACAATTAGTATCACTAATCGGTTTTACTCTAAGATTATTAATTAAGATTATCTATTTCACGCTTATTGAATTTGATCAAGTGCCATAAAATTAGCTACACTTAAAATATTTTAATTATTATTATTTTATTACACAAAAAGTTTAACAACTTTTATGCGTTGTATTTAATCCTTCGAGTTTATATTACACGTTTCGTAAGTTTCGCAATGAAACCGAAAACCAATATAAAAAAAGCGCGGATATTTTTGCGCAATGCCATTTGACACATTTCTGTTATCTGTGTCTGAAACTACGAGTTCCAGTTTCATAGAAAACTTCAGTTTGAACGGTTCACCTGTATTTCAGAGCCAACCTTGCCACTGGAGAAACGCGAAGAATGTGGTGAAGCGATCGGCACCGGAAATAGGTGGACTGTCGACGCCGGCAACTAGTTTGTCGGAGAACGTGAACCTCTTCCAGTCTCTTCGCGTTCTTCAGGAAGGCGAGGCGGACACGGAACTGTTCCAGAATTCCACCAGCTTCTCTCGCAGCGGTAAAAAAACCGATATACACAATTATGTCAAACATAATTTTTTACTGTTAGAACAATTACACGTCGTGCATTTATCACAGCTTCGTTCAGTGAGAAGTGCTCCACTTTTTTTTTATTACAGTTGCGTTATGGCGGGCACTGATTCGAAACGAACGAAGCTTGCAAATATAATATATTGCATACTACGCTTCGGTAAAAGTAATAAAAGTAATAAATAATAAATTTATTTCTGCAATTATCAAACAAATTGAAGTGTCTCTTACAAACATTCGGGAATCATGAGCAAACGTTTAATATCTCGATTTTATACATACAATCTTTTACCATGGGGGATGAATTACCAATCGAAACTGTAGCCAATCCGGGAAACAATGGAAAAAATCTCGTTATACAGGGTGGGCCATTTTAATTTATACAGTCCATTTTTTAAAAAACTAAAAGAGATATGAAAAAATGTTTCAGACAACAGTTGTATGGTTTCGAGGGGGACATAAGATGGTACCATAGGTTTGACCTTGAAGAGTAATTTGAAGGTCACATGAAGGTTACCTTCAATTTCTTAAATGGAACCTACTATTTCTCGTTACATATTCTTGTAGGTTATCTCGAGAGCTTTCCAAAACACTATAATAAAGTATTTTTTTGTTAAGAACTTTTTGAGTTATTAAGGTTTGAAAGTTTCAATATTTAGACGTAAATTACAAAATATCTTGTAAAATATTCATTTTTTTATCATCTTACCTTAA